GCGAAAGGCAAAGGCCCGAGCTGATCCGAGCTGTCATGCGCTCGCAAGCCTGCTGTCACTGCTGTCTGCTGTCACCACGCATCCACTTGCGGGCCTGCAGGAAAAGGGAGGGAGTCCTACGACGACTACGAGCCAGTCGTCAAAGGAAAGGCAAAGGGAAAAGCGGGAAAAGCGGGAAAAGCGGGGAAAGGAAAGTCCAAGGATGACGAGCCTCCGCCCCTTCGGCGCGGAGCTAAGGCTACTGTAAGGCCCAGCTGGCTGAACGTCCTCCCGGCTTTGTGCTCTCAGGGCCACCAAGGGCAAAGGCAAGGGAAAGGAGGAACCGAAAGGAAAGGGCAAAGCAAAAGGGAAAGGCAAGGGAAAGGCACTGGGGCCCTACTTTGTCCTGTCCGCATCGCTTCGAATTTCTGCTCAGGGCTACAAAGGCAAGTGAGGCCTTGAGACCCAACGCGGTGTAGAAGAGTTCAGCTTCCAGTCATCTCGAATTGCAGAGACTGCAATCTTCTTTGAATCTGGCGATCTTCGCCCTTATATCTCTTTTATGCAGTCGCGCCGTGCCTCAATGGTGAGCTCAGCCAGTGTTTCCGTGCACACAGCAAAAATGATGATGGGGGAGCTGGGGCAGGGGCCAGGGCCACCCATTGCAGCGGCAAAAGCACAGCGACCCACGCTCCAGGGAAAGAGCTCTTCTTCGCTCCAAGAGGAGCGGAGGAGAGCGGAGAGAGAGAAAAAAAGAGAGGGAGCGTAGCGGGAGCGTAGTCACGGCGTAGTCTCTCAGAGTTTCCCAACCGCGGAAAGGGCGGCCGGGCGGGAAACCCGGTTGCAGGCCGGGCGCGAGCCGCCGGGCGAGACGCTCACCTCTCAGTGAGCCTGCGCAAAGCGTATGCGCGAAAAAGAAGCGCCGGTCAGATACCTTCGATTCTGAGTCTGTGTGCTGTGTGCTGCACCATGCACTGCCCAGCATATGCATATGCCCCAGCCCTGGCGCTGCATGGCCCCCAAAGCGCAGTCAGACGATTTAGAGAAGGCGGGGGTGGCTTTTTTGGACTCACCCGCTGTGGCCTTAGCACTCTGCGGTCAGCGTACGCGGCATTGTCCTTACGAACTGTGACTCAGGCCCTGTGAGCTGGCGGTGTGAGCATGAAGGAGGCATCCTCTCCGCGTGCGCCTCCGCACAAAAGCGCTCCTCTGCACTGCAGGGCGCCGAGGAGCTGAAATCCATCCACACCTGCCTCTTGCTCAGAGCGACGGTGTCAGATTGTGGCGCGCAGCGTGCGGCCTGGCGGCTTAGAGCGGCTTTTTAGCGCAGCACGCCTTCTTTCGGAGGCACAGACTGCCCCTGGTGCCTTCTCTTTCTCGGCAGCTTGGGGGGTCTCGGAGTCCTCTATGGCTATGGAGTCACGCACGGCGAGCTCGGAAAGCCGGCTGCGCTGTGCTGCTTTGTGCTAACGCAGGCATGCTGTCCTCCTCCGCCTGCCAGGCTCTACCACGGCATCGACTACCAGGGCCGCATCTGTGGCCTGGAGGGCCCCGAAGGTGTGCCCGGAAAGCCCGGCGCCCACTTCTCTATGTCCGGCCATGCGGCCATGACATCGGCCATGATGCAACTTTGTGCGGTCGTTCAAGTTGAAGCTTCGGCTCAGTAAAGAAGGAAACCCGCTGCTCCGCTGCTTCTGCTTCCATGCCAATCCGCACCCGACCGGACCCCGCCAAGAGGAGCCGCCCCCCGGGCATGAGCTGAACGAACACGCTCGAAATGAAAGCGCTGCGTCTCTCGTCGTGGAGCCGTGGCTCGCCGTGTTCCAGTGCTTTACATTGGTATTCTGTTTTGGGTTATGTTGCTTCTGCAGAGGGCGTCCTGACTAGTCCTGAACTGATCACCGGATCGGGCTTAGCCGAGGGCTGCGTGGAATGCTCTTGATCCTAGTGGGGGGGGGGCGGGACTGAGTCGAGGCCCTACTTGTTCTGGTGCATGAACTCAGCGAGGGGCCCGGCCCAGTGTGGGAACGGGTGCCGGTGCGCTTGTGCGCTCAGCCGCTGACGTCTGCAGGCCATGACCGCTGCCGACGTCTCTTTAAATCTGGCGCGCAGCTCTGCCAAGCGACCTACGTTGCGCAAGTCTCTGTGCTAGCCGCGCTCAGAAAGACCCGGTCTGCGTCTCCAGCTGCCCCGGCGTCCCAAGCGCCCTGCACTGAGACAGGGCAAGCGCCGTGCGGCTCGCGCAGAAAAAGCACAGACAGCCGCAAGCTCAAGCTGAGGCCCTGGGCGGGAGCCTTTATGCCCCCGTCCCCGAATGCAAGCAGCGGCCCTGGGAAAAAGCTGCCTTCGGCTGCGCTCGCCCCCTCTCTCTCTCTCTCTTCCGAGGCTGGTCAGTGCATCGCAACAGATCAACTCCTACAAGACCATGATCATCATGAATCGATACTGCTTTCCGGACCCGGTGGAGGACTGGGCTCTCTAGAAACCTTCCAAGGGCGTCCTTCGTCAGGACAGCTCGGGGCTCCTGAAGAGCGCCGCCAACTCCCTCGAGTCAGGACCGGTCGGGCGTTCGCCGCTCTTTCTTTTTGCCCCCCCCCGCGCAGGTCTGACGAGCCAGCACACGGAGCGACTCCTGGAGCAGCTCTCGCAGGGAGCCCCTGCCGTCGCGACCGCCGTCGCGACCGCCGTTGAAGCGCGAGGTCTATACCGGCAGCGTGGCCGGTGCTGCTCATCGCCTTCTTCCTGGCCGTCCTTTTGGGGTGAGATCCCAGACTCAGACGAGCCTCCCCCTTTTTTGGAGAGCCATGATCGGAGAGCCGGCAAGGGAAGCGCCCCGAGGTACATGTACCTGGTGGCGCTGCGGCACTGCACGGTGCTGCTGATCTGGAGCGGAGCTCGGCTCGGCGCCACGGCGCCACGGCGGGCCGCCCCTTGCAAGTCCCCTTATAAGGCTTGTGATGGCGCTGTCGGTGGCCGGCTCCGCCTTGTTGGGCTTCTACCTCTGGGCTCGGGGCCCAGCCACGGCAGCCAGCCTGTGCCCTCTCCGTGAGCCTCGGTGAGGCCAACGCGGGCACCCTCTCGAGGTGCCCTCCACCTGTCTGCTCACAGCATGTCCTGCATTTTTTGAAGCCGAACGAAGCTCCAGAGATGCGATTCTTGGGTGAGATTTGGGCGAACGATGTTTTCTGCAGTCGATGAAGACAGGTGAATGCCACAACGACTTTGTTGGGGTCGGCACACCTTTGTTTAAGGCCGCCTTGCTATCATTGACACGTCGTCTACCCAAGCCTTATAAGGAGTCGGCGCGGGAGCACTTTCTGTGCGTTAAGAGCCTCACGGAACCTTCCAAAAGATGCCCAACATGATTCTTGGATGTGCAAGTCGAGCACCTTGTTGTAACTTGTCGACTTCTTGCGTGTTTTCGCCGCTTGTCGATCTGATTGAGTTTTTGCGCGTGTCTGCCCTTCTCGAGTCTTTTGAGTTTGTTGGACTTCTTGAGTGCTGTTGTTTTTCAATTTTTTTGGCGTTGTTCGGCCCACGACGAGGCGCGCTCTCACGGCATCGTTTGTTTGTTCCTGAGAAAAGAGCCTATGGAATCGCGCTCCACTGAGCAAGCCGACAGCCACGAAACCTGAAAATCAAAACAACTCGCTCTGGTATCGGGTACAGCCACTATCAAGCAGAAAGCCTGAACCTTGCAAGAAGATCGCCGACGGCCGAGACCCTCAGTTCATCCCAGCATCGCTTCCGAGCGCAGGGTCCCCAAGTTTTTTTTTTTTTTTACCTCGTCGTTGATGTGTGTGTATTGATGAAATATGTATGTAGTGTATGCAATGTATGTAATGTACGTAACCGTAACGTATACAGAATGTATATATTGTATGTAACGTATGTAATCTATGCATTGTGCAAGCAATGCAAAGTAATGCAAAGTAACGCACTGTAATTCAATGTAATGCAATGGGATGCAATGCGATGGAGTGTAATGTGTAGTATAACGTGTAATGCCATATACGGAATGTACGGTCGCGTAATGTCATGTAAGAGGTAGTGGAGCGTAATGGGATGGGATGGGATGTGACGTGATGTGGTGTAGAGAATCATTTGCATGATTGCCTTCGGATATCCTGTCCGACATATTTGGAAGGAGATTCTGGCAACAGCTCATATGAAGTTTGCTCATCCATTGACATGCCACGTTGTGCCGGTGTCCAGGCACCTACCCAGCGGTGTGGCCCCTCCTGAAGGCTTGCGCAGTGCTTCCGCCCTGCTTTTCGCACGGCTTTTGCCCCGAAGGATATGGTGACAACGAAGAATTGGTGACAAAGGCGCATCTTGTGGCATTTGTTGTGGTGCAGACAACACCAACCAAGACAGACACACACACACACACACACACACACACACACACACACACACACACCCACACACACGCGCGCACACGCGCGCACACGCGCCCACACGCGCGCACACGCGCGCACACG